CACTCATACATATACATGAAGGGGCTTCAAAAAGTTTGTGGCAAATGGAATGATAAGATAATGGAATTTTTTTCCATGAACTTTTTGAAGGCTCCTTAAGGCGGCACTGGAGGCACTCACTCATCTCTGTCAAGAAATTTGGAAGACAACCATCTGGCCCACTGATTGGAAGAGATCCGTATTTGTGCCTATTCCAAAGAAAGGTGACCCAACGGAATGCAGAAATCATCGGATAATCTCTTTGATAGCCCATGCAAGTAAAGTTTTGCTAAAGGTAATATAGAAACGGCTACAAGGATACATTGACAGAGAACTTCCAGAGGTTCAAGCTGGATTCAGAAGAGGATGTGGAACGAGGGATATCATTGCTGATGTCCAATGGATCTTGGCTGAAAGCAGAGAATATCAGAAAGATGTTTACCTGGGCTTTATTGACAAGCTAAGGACAACATTGCAAAGTATGGGTATTCCGGAACACTTAATTGTGCTCATCATGAATCTGTACCTGGACCAAGATGCAGTTGTATGAATAGAACATGGGAACACTGAATGGTTTAAAATTAAGAAAGGTGTGAAACAGAGTTGTATTCTTTCACCGTACTTATTCAGCCTGTATGCTAAGCAAATCATCCGAGAAGCAGGGGTCTATGAAGAAAAATGTGGCATCAGGATTGGAGGAAGACTCATTAACAACCTGCGATATGTAGATGATACAACCTCACTTGCTGAAAGTGAAGAAGACATAAAATATTGATGAAGATCAAAAAGCACAGCCTTTGGTGTGGATTGCATCTCAATGTAAAGAAAACAAAAATCCTCACCACTGGACCAATAAATAACTTGCTTATCAAGGGAGAGAAGATTGAAGTTGTCAAGGACTTCATTCTTCGTGGGTCAACTAGCAACACTCGCGGAAGCAGCAGTCAAGAGATCAGACAACGTATTGCATTAGGCAAATCTGCTGCCTCTTTAAAGTGTTGAAGAGCAGAGATGTCAGCTTGAGGACTCAGCTGCACCTGACCCAAGTCATGGTGTTTTCAATAACCTCATATGCATGTGAAAGCTGGACAGTGAATAAAGAAGACCATAGAAGAATTGATGCTTTTGAATTATGGTGTTGGAGGAGAATACTGAAAGTGCCATGGGCTGCCAAAAGAACCAATAGATCCAATGTGAAAGAAGTGCAGTCAGAGCGCCCCCTGGAGGCCAGGATGGCCAAACTTCATCTCTCATACATTGGACATATTGTCAGGAGGGACCAGTCATTGCAGAGGGATATCATGTGTGGTAAGGTGGAGAGTCAGTGAAAAAGAGGAAGACCCCCAATGAGATGGATTGGCAAAGTGGCAGCATCAATGTGTTCAAGCATGGCAACAATTGTGAGGTTGGCCCAGGACTGGGCAGTGTTTCATTCTGTTGTGCATAGGGTTGCTATGAGTCGGTACCGACTCAATGGCACCTAACAACAACAACAACAACAACAAACATACTTGAAATAAATTCAAATATATGACTACTATTGAATATATAAGGACCTCTGGTAGCGAATCAGGCTGCGAACCGCAAGGTCAGCAGTTCGAAACTACCAGCTGTTCTGCGGGAGAAAAATGAGGCTTTCTACTCTTGTAAAGATTTATAGCTTTTGAAACCCTGTACAGGGTTGCTATGAGTCGGAACCGACTCCATGGCACATAACAACAACAACAACAATTGAGTTTATGCTAAAACCACTAGAAAGTGCAGCAAACAGAAGGGCTGTAGATCCATGTTCACACTAATGACAATTTACGCCAGCGTCATGTCACAAAGGTAACTGACAGGGCTCAAACTTTCCTCTGTGTGCAGCAGGCACTAGAGGAGTAGTCCATTCTCAGCTAGACAGTTGACAGGATCATCACCATTGGCTGACAGTGTTCCCTGTACTTGGATAGTGTGTTTCCTGATGACTTCCAGCGGCTCCGCTCCCTCCTATGGCAGCTCACCTTTCTTTAATGAACCCTTTCTTCCGGCAGTTTGAAAGTTGTTTGGTTTCTTTGGGAGTATTAGAAAGAAACAATGGACAACTTGAGACCGGGACACAAGGGCCATTGTTATTGCTGTTGTTAAGTGCTATCCCAGGGGCCATTAACCGTTTTTAAATAGATGAGTAGCAAGATGAGTTTGCTGTTTGTTTATTATAATTAAAGGAAAAGAAAAAAAAAACCCAAAACATTTAGTCTAGATAAAGGGATGGAAAACCTTTTTTCTACCAATATTTATAATATCATTCACGGACCATGCAAAATTATCAAATTAAAAATTGTCCTGCTATATTTGGTCAAACATTTAACTCACCCCCAATGATGGTTGGTGTGGCACTGTGGATTAATGCCCCAGACTGCAAAGCTGATTAAACTGCAAGATCGGCAGTTCAAGCTCACCAGCTGCTCCTTGGAAACCCTACACAAGGTCGCTATGGGTTGGAATCGCCTTAATAGCAACAAATGATGGCTGGAACTGCGAGTTACCTTGTAATGTAAGACCAAATGGTTTCAAGGGCCTAATACGGCTCATGGGCCAAACGGTCGGTCCCCAGCCCTGGTCTAGATACAGGTGTTTCAGTCATGTGGACCTGAGATGACGAAGACCAGCGCTAAGGCCTGCGCAGCTGGGTGCCACCCTCACAGTGAACACTGTAAACTGACATGAGCAATGTCCAGATTCCTCCTGATAACACCTTCAAAGTAGGTGAGATGAAGTCTTGACCCCTCATTTCTAAGGAATTGATAGGGTGTACATAATTTTCTATTTGATTAGCAAGACCTGACACTCTCCCAGAAACTGTGGGGTGGCTGGTAGCTTCGGTTTAGACTCAGAGAAACTCCTTCAACCCCACAGGATGTTTAGAAGTAGAGCCACTTCCTACAACCCTTCCACATCCCAGGCCAGTCTCCAATTGTACTGATTATGATAGTTTATGATGAGAGATTCCGCACCCAGAGCACTGTTTTAAGGCTGTATCTTGATTTTCCTAATTTAAGAATAGACGATGTATGCATACAATCCAGTGACATGAATACACTCCGCTGCACAGCCCTTACCATTTCCAAATGTTAGCAAAGTAAAATGGCTGAAATGGCACATGCTGTCTTATACGAACGGCCTTCAAAAAGTTTATGGGAAGCTTTCAATGTCTTTTAATTCTATTTTTCATGAAACTTTTGAAGCCATTTCGTATATATTTCATCACAATAAAAATAATTTAAAAATACAAAATTGACATGAATACTCCATGCTAATCCCAGAGTCCTCCCCACCCTTCTTCCCTCCAAAAGTAAAAAATAACATATTCACATCAAACAAAAGGTTCGAAAGGATATGCAGTGAAAATCTGCTCACCACCTCAGTTTTTCTCTTTAGAAATAATAAGTTTTTGTGTATTCTTTCAGAGATGTTCTGTAAAAATATTAGCCAACTGTTTTAATTTCAGAATGAGTTGAAGAAATAAACCAAGTCTGTTGAAGTGAAGGAGCTCTGGTAGCGTAGTGGTTATGAATCGGGCTGCAAACCTTAAGGTCAGTGGTTTGAAACTACCAGCTGCTCTGTGGGAGAAAGATGAGGCTCTCTACTCCCGTTACAGGGTCGCTATGGGTCGGAACCGACTTGACGGCACTTCACAACAACAACAAATTGAAGTGAAAGGCATGTATGTATCAGTGTATATATGTTGCAGGTGACTTTCTTGTTGCCGGTTCTTGATTTTCCCATTTTCCCAACTTCTGCTTGGTGTCGGTATTGTTTGGCTGCAAATAAAGAAATGGCCTTATTTGTGGCAAAACGTACTAACAACACCAATAATAATATAAAGTAGCTCAGATACGAACAATCTCTCCATATTCCCTTACAAAAATGGGAAGAGAAATACTGAAGGGTGAACCATTTAATAGGAAGTCAGCCTCGAGCTGAGAATTGGCCATGTCTTCTTCCTTTTTAACCTCACGTTTCAAAGTAGAAACACCTTAAACAGGTTAAGTAGGGCAGAACCTCCCTCACAAGGTGATTATAAAGTTGGGGGCAAGTCGCGCTTTGAACACCCACAAAGTTACCAGTAGTGTGATTTACCCTTTGCACTGTCATAAGGGCAGAAATTTTTGAATATCTTAGCCAGATCAAAAGAAAGCGTAGATAGACAGGTGCAGTTAACTTGTGGGTTGATTTTAGCGTAGTCTGGAATGCTGTTTAAAACTCGCAACTTTAACAATTCATTAGAAAAGAGGTACATATTTTTATATCTCAATTTTGCAAATGGAACCTAAAGCAACTGCAGGCACTTGCATTCGATTCAGCTCCGTTCCCAAGCCTACTGAAGCCCTTGAATTTATACAAATGCCGCTTGGCGGCGCAAACTGTCCAGGAGCCTCGTTAGCGCAGTAGGTAGCGCGTCAGTCTCATAATCTGAAGGTCGTGAGTTCGATCCTCACACGGGGCATCCGCACTTTTTTTCCGCGGCCCTACAGGGTTAATACAGTCAGAGGGACAAAGCCTCACCATCCTGTGTAAGGGATGCGGGTGTTTTTCCAGGTGCTGCAGTATGGGCTCGGGGGCGGGCTGGGACCGGATGTGTGCCCGAAGGAGAGGGGGCCCCGGGGTCTCTGCATGAAAAGAGGACATCATTGGTGCTGCATGAAAAGAGGACATCAGCAGCAGGACGGACATCAGCGGTGCTGCGTCTCCTGGGACACACTTAGAAGGTCTGCCGGCGCGGGAAGGGCGAGACCTCCTGGGAGTAGGGTTGGGCTCTGCGGGCCGGGAGCTAGCTAACGTCAGAGGAGCCAGGGTCTCCCGGGGTGGGGCGGGGAAACCTGGCTCTCTGGGGGCGGAGCTGATCTATAGGGGCGGGGCTAGGCACTCCGGAGGCGGGGCGCGGCTTTCAGGCGTTTCCGGCGCGGCACGCTCACGCCTTTGGGTGGGGCGGGGCCGGCGCGTGCGCAGAGCGCGCCGGCGTCGCCGTCTGGGCCGGCATGGCGGTGTGCGCTCGGCTCTGCGGCGTGGGCCCGGCCCGAGGGTGCCGGCGGCGCCAGCAGCGCCGGGGCCCTTCGGAGGCGGCGGCGGCCGACAGTGAGCCCGACACAGACCCTGAGGAGGAGCGCATCGAGGCGGGCACGGCACTGGCCGGGGGCGCGCCGGGTTCCGCAGCTCCGCGCTGCTGGTTGCTGGAACTGCCGCCCGAGCTGCTGGTGGAGATCTTCGCGTCGCTGCCCGGCACCGACCTACCCATCCTGGCCCAGGTGTGCACCAAGTTCCGCCGCATCCTGCACACTGACACCATCTGGAGGCGACGCTGCCGGGAGGGTGAGTGCAGGGGGCCTTGGGGGCCCAGGGTCCCCGAAGAGGCACGGGATCTCCGCTGGCGCATGGGGTCTCCGCAGGGGCAGTATGTTCCCGCTGGTGCAGGGTCCCCGAAGGGGCCATGGGTCTCTGCTGGCACAGGCGGCCCTCCTCGGAGTGGCTCCTTGGGGCTGGCTGATAAAGGACCCGACGGGTCATTTGCTACAGAGTCTCAGTCCGGGCAGGTGGACCTTACCAGGGCAGAGGCTTGCCTGGGAGGTTGTATCCGGGGAGGGTGACAGGCGGCCTGGGAGGGCCCACTTGGGAGTGGGTGACCTCGGGGCAGTGCCGTTTTGGGGAGTGGGGTTCTGACAGCATTGGATGACACCAGAATGACTGTCTAAAAATTCTATGCGGTGTTTCAGCAGAAATTTATTATATTTTAGAAAACTATCCCTGTAGCTAGTCACAAGGAAAACAGCTTTGAAAGCCAAACTTACATGTGTCAGTATCCCTACAAAGCTAACACTATGCTCATTTACTTTTCATTTAAAATTTTTACTGTGTATCCAGTGAAAGTTTACAGAGCACATCATCAGTTTTACATTCAATAAATCATATACTTTGTTTCATTTCAATGATTGCAATCTCTTGCATGTATCCCTAGTTAACAGTATTTACATCTTTTCACTCCTCTCTGTGTCTCCCACCTTCATCTTTCCTCTGCTAACCTCCTTTCTGTTATATATTGCCTTCCCCACCACCCAAATTAACATGTGTCTACGGCCCCTAAGAACAGCAACAGCCCTTTTGCCCATTTACTTTTTGAATCTCATAATGACTGGGCAAGATGGAGTTCCCAGGTGGAGAGCAGAGCCTGGTGCTACCTGCCTTGGGGGTGACTCCAGCTGTGAGGACACAGGACGTTGAGGATTCGAGGGGGTGATGGAAAGCTGGAGTTGGTGGGGGGGGGAGGGGGTGTGTGTCAGTGCATTACTTGACTGTGAAGGCGAGTAAACTGAAGCCATTGGCTTTCCTCATTCCTCCCCAGCCCTTGGGGAGCAGACCTGCAGGTACTCCCAGGACAGAGATGGATTGCACTTGAATAAAGTTAGGGGAACAGGTCTCCTCAATGTATAGAGAGCCAGGGGGAGTGCTTGGAGAGCAGGTATCATCATTTCTGTTGATGTGTTTGACGATAAAATTGAGGGATTATGATGGCAGCAGGGAGGGAACACAGGAGGAAAATGTTGCTCCGTGTAGATTTCCAGACTTTCTGGGTTTCGCTGTGACAGATGTCTGATGTTCACTCAGCTCTGTTTTGGTGTAAAGGATAGGTTATTGCCAATAATGCAGCATTGCAAAAGGAAGAAAGCAAAAAACAATCAGACTTCTTGCGATCAAAGGGAAGCTTCTCTATCTGTGTGGACCTTAGAGTGAGTGGTGTATACATCCTGTCCCCACGGGGGTCTTTACCATCTATGTGCCATTGCATACGCGGGGGTCTCCAAAAAGTTTGTGGAGAGGTGGAATGAAAAGTTAATGGATTTTTTTTCCTGGCCTTTTTGAAAGTCCCCTTGTGTATCCAGCACAGACTAGACCCTTATTGGTAGACCTGTAAGCTTTCTGGTTTTCTTTGTTATAATCAGTGCTATGAAGAATGTCTTTGAGGTCTTTGGAGACACTTAAAAGGTTTAGATGTGTCTTTTAGAACGTCTGGCACCACATCCCTTGTGTATACTCCCCAGTGGGAGGGTGTGGTCATGGGATGTACACTTGCAGTGAACCTTTGAGAACCATTGTGGAGTTATTCTAATCTGCACTCCCCAGCGTGGTGCATGGGAAGAAGGCATCTTTCCAAAGCCTCCCACCCCCAGGCTTACTCATCTCATCTTGTTGATAGTCCAGAACCTGGACTGTAAGCCAGCTGAGCTGGGTTGTGGCCCGGGCTTTATTTATCGGGGAGACCCTGGACAACTCACTTCTTGTCAGAGGAGTGGGAGTCACAGCGGTGCGGACCCCAGAGGTTTCTTTGAGTGTGAAATGCAAAAATGTGCATGCACTAAGTGCTTCCTTCTAAATGGTAGCTGTTTTGCTTCCTGGCCTGCTTTTTTTCACCTTTTGTGAATTGCCTATCCCTGTTTTTTGGTCTTTTGTGGAGAAAAAAACCACCACTTTATATTTGTAGTATTAACCCTTTGTCACCTGTGGCTAAGTAAACAGTTGTCTCTTTGTTTTAAAACAGAGGTAAAGGAAAGAAAACATCCTTTCCTGCTCTCAGTAACCTCTTCATCTGCTTTGTCTGGCAGAAGAGTCAGACTCACCACACAAGTCCCCTTGTACCTGCACGAGCCCTTCGGTCCATCCATAACACCTGTTGGGTGAGCTCCAGGGGTTTGTCTGAGGAGCTGCCAGGTGTGTGGCGCACCTTGAAGAGCAGAGACTAAGAGAAGGTGCTTTTGTGTGAGCATCCAATACAGGGGAAGTGACCCTGGAGTCCCAGCTCCGGGGGTCTCTCTAAAAGGATACAGGCACGCCCCCCTCATTTTATTGCGTGTCGCAGATCCTGCGATTTGTACACCTGGATGGCCTTGGATGCCATGGCTCCAACGGCGTGTGTCCACTTGTGGCTTTGTGTCCCGTGCTGGTCATTGTCACAGTATTGCAGCCTTCCTCATCAGAGTGCACACTTCCTAGGCCACAGGCTAGTGTCAGCATCACCTTTAAATGTACCAGGAAGCCAGAAGGTGGACTCGAACCTGTAACATCTCCGCAGGCTGCCTTTGTACACTTTTCTGGGGGAAAACACAGAGAGAAGGTGGATACAGACGTACATAGAAGACTGCCTGACCCTCCCTCTACACAACTTTTGTCGGACACCCATCACGGGCAGCCACACTTGCCCCATAGGCCTTGTGATAGGAGGGGAACTTTTAGTTTGACAATTTTAAAAATGGGAAAACAACAGTCATAAGACATTTGTATTTATAGACCTCCCCAACAAATAAGTGTTGAATACTTTGTAGTCTTAAAAAACTTGAAAAAGAGAAACGTTTATTACTTTTGTTTGTTGAGCCTACGTGCAGCCGCCCTGGCTTTCTGAGCGGTTGCTTCTTCAGCGTAGAGTCACCGCACCCCATCACACGCTTGCTCTTGCGTCCTCTATTCTTTTTTAAAGACAACATCTTAGCCGATCCTTGCGTGCCCTCTGCTCCCCACTCGCCTTTTACTCTAAGAAGCGCTGCCACTGCTTTGGTTTGCACTTTTTCCAGGCCTGTTACTAGCACATGTGTACACATCACCGATGTCCAGTGTTTTGTGATATTTTAAATTTCAAAAGTAAGTCAGACAGCAGCTTTTTTTTCCTTCACTCAGCTTATGTCTGAGGGTCTGTGCCTGCTGACACACCGAAGCCTCGTGCGGTCTTTTTAATGCTGTGTGGGGGTTCATAATGGTTTATTCCCCCCCTTCTTTTCATCCTTTCACGGTGTTGTTGTTAAGTGCTGTCGAGTCGATTCTGACTCATAGCAACCCTGTATAGGGTTTCTGAGGAGTGACTGGTGGGTTTGAACTGACAACCTGTGGTTCGAAGTCCAGTGCTTACCTTTCTGCGCCACACTATAAATAGTATCACAGTGAAGTTTTGCATCTGTAATTCTTGGATACACCTGTGTGACGATTCCTCTTAAGGCCCAGTGTGCTGTGTCATTGCGGGATGAGAATTGCACTTTTAGCAGGATTACTTCCTCGGGTTTCCTAGGCTGTGGTCTCTAAGGCAGCGGGCGACCAGGTGTTTCTCCTGTGGAGCCTCTTGTTGGGTTCGAACCAAAGGAGCTTGTGGTTATCAGCTAAGTGCTTAACCACTGTGCCTGCCTCCAGGGCTCTCATCATCTGGCTCTGCCCATTTTCTTCCCAACATGTTGTCGTCTGCATCCACACCCGTCATTAGGACCAACTACGCCACTCAGGGAAGGGAGAGAGCCGTCGCAGAGTACGGGCTGTTTGTGGTCTGTGGGACCCACTGCCCTTGGGGTCTCTTCAACACCAAATGCCCCATCTTCAGAAGCCAGTGCCCATCTGGCTGAAAACAGCATCTCGCTTTCCTCTGGTGACCAGTGAGGCCCCATGGAAGTCCCTGTGTGTTTGCTTATCTTTGCTGTCTTCATATTGTTTTTCCTGTGATTTGTGGGCTCAGTGCATATAATCGGGGTAGATTTTATTTTTGTAGGCATTCATCATTTGAGGTGCCTTGGAGTTTTCAGTGCTTAGGCACTCGTTGCTCACTGCAAGCTTGGCAGTCCAAACCCCTCCCCGGTGCACCTGCAGAAGGAGGATGATGCAGTCGGCTTCCGTAAACAGCCCTGGAGATCCTGCCCTAGAGAATTGCTGGGTCAGAATCGGCCCCTGTGGCTGGGGGTTTGATTGATTGATTTTTTTGGGGGGGTTGTCGCCATCATTTACTATTCAATATCATTTATTGTGACCTTGCTTTACTGAGACACAAAATTCTAATCTAATCAGAGTCATGAAATTGTCAATTTGTGCTGAAGTACTCACTTCTGTCCCTGGGGTGTGAAGCATCTCCGTAACTAGATTTCCGGAGTCTCGTACGTTCTCTCTGGCAGCTTCATTGAGCGGCATTTCCTCATCATCTAGGTCACAAGTCAGACAACTGGCATTCCCACCCGGCCCCTGTAGTTGGTCTGCGCCATTGCAATTGGGATTCTATATGAGAATTGTGGCTATGGAGTACCTTTGTGTTGGGTTTTACTTGTCTGGGCCCTGAGACTGTCTCCTTCCAATGAAGTCGTTGTTGCTAATGCTCAGAATCTCCAGTGCCCTCGAGTCGATTCTGCCAGTAGTGACCCTTGACCCTTGAGAGCACAGTAGAATTGTTCCTTAATGTTTCTAAAACGAGTCTTTATGGGAACAGACAGCCTCATCGTTCTCCTGCATGCACCTGGTGGGCTCGAACTGCCAGCTTGCAGCCCAATGCCTAACCCACAGTGCCACCAGGGCACCCC